CCTTTTCCTGTCTTTTTATTTGTCATTTTTTGTTTCTATCTTATCTTAAATATTCCTATAACATTTTATTTGGATACTCATTACACTCACTGTACAAATATAATAATAAACATCTGTCCAAATTTTCTTATATTTATGTATAATTAATTTATAAGTCACCGTGAAATTCCCGTCGTATCTTCGAAACCGTATACAGTTAACAATAACTATTTTAATTGAAATAAATAAATGGCATAAAACCCAACCGCTCCAAGCGATATTTCAAAGTCTTCGCACGAATGTAAAAAATTCTCTTTCCTTCAATTCGACTTCAATGGCGAAAACAGAGAAGAGAGTCCGAGAGAGAATCGGCTCTTCTTCGTATTTTCTAGGCTGTTTCGGCTTTTCCCGGGAAATATACTCCGATAAGCCGATGATTACTGCGAAAGACGGTGGCGAGAAAAAGATGAAGAGGAAGAAGAAACGATCACTAAATCGGTGGCTTTCGTGTTCGAAGTTTCGCCTGAAGAACCGCGAGATCAAACCGGCACCGATCGAGGAATCAGAGAAACTAACTTCAAGTGTTGAAGATGAGACTGATAAGCACAAACCCGTCCCGGTGATACGTCGTTTGACTGATCGTAAGAATATTCCGGTTGATGATAAAGCCATGAATCAGGAAACTAAAGAGGTATCATCTTTCATATATAGAACCTCCAAAAGACTTTTCACTCTCTTTTTTTCCGTAAATTAACCAAAAAAAAAAACATTTTCACACAATTAAATTTCTTTCAGGACCAACATGATTGATTATTTTTTCCTTGATTTTAAGAAATTTAACATATTTTGTTGGTTTTATTTAGATTTTCCGATGTGATAACAGAAACTTTATTTTGCTATCTTTTTGGTCGTTGCTAATTCAGACAAAACCAAAGGACTTACGAGATATAACCACCGACCGATCAAAACCCGTGGAACCGTTAGGTTTATCTAAAGAAGACACGTGTCCTGAACGAACATCCAACTCATCAACCCGTTATGGAAAACCCGAAATGAAACCGTCTCGGGCGAAAAACTGGTCACGGGTCGAAAAGTTTGACCCGGTAATTGGGATATCGATCATTGTATTGACGCTCGTGATTATGTTAGTTTGGGGTCGACTATGTGCGATTCTGTGTACATCTGCTTGGTGTTACTTTCTACCACGTCTCAGAGAGGCAGCCGCGTTGGCGAAACGCAGACGCAGCGGTAGCGATGGTTCAGCGTTTGTCCGGGATTTGAAATCAGAGTCGTACAAAAGAAAAGTCGTCTTGGATGGGTTTCTTGGACGGCAAAATCGCGTTTCGTTGTTGTGACGATCATCTTCACCTTTTTTAAAAATATATTATTTTTTTTTGTTTTTCATATTATTATAATGGTTTGGTCAAATTTTTGGGGGTTTGTAAGTCAGTGAAACTTGTGTTTCCGTTTAATAACGATGATTGATCGATTGTGAATGGTTACATCAAAATGAATAATATATAATACTCTTTTCTGTGAATATCATCAGTGACTGGTCAATATTTAGCAGCCTATTGATGTAAGTAACTATCTTGATTTTTCTTGGTTTTTACAACGTTTGGATCGGTCCCTATTGGGATATTTCAGTGATGTAACGTGAACGTGATAAAAATCAAAGAGCACGTGCAGGAGTTTTTTTTTTTTCTCTGAGCCCAATTGTATTTGTTATACAGATAATCCCTTGCATATAACTACAAGGGTTTCTCTGTAGCTCTAGCCGTCGGGAAATTTATAAATATGGAATTCCAACGATTGTCGATAGACCAAGTACCTTTCTTCGTGGGACAATCAAAACTGAAGACTTTGAATGAGTCATGTTGCTCTTTTGGTGTATTTTATTCGTTATAGTTTTTAATTAAATAAAAAATTGTCAATGCAAATTGTTTTTAATCAATTTTGTAAAAACTATTCAATTAATTTATAATGATATTACATTTCCAACGAAAAAGATATCTACGAACACTGTCAAAGAAGATAGAAAACCGGACGTACTTTCATTTTGTCGATTGTCATTGATGGTTTTTATATCTGTTTCTTTATTTTTTCTTGTATATAATTTTATTGATCTTCTCTAGGTTTTCTTTTCTAATCTTCTAGAGTATAAGCTCAAGGGTGTGAATGGTTAATTAAATAAGAAGAAAAGAAAAATCTTTTTAATGGAAAAAAATATTTTATCATGTATTTGAGAAAGGAAGAATTACTCTACATTAGTTATTTTTTGACACTTTTTGAAAGAAAACATTTTCTTTTATTGTTTTTTGAATGGTAGATTTAGAAAATAATCTTCTTCTAAATATGTCATCCAATCACACTCTAAAACTGGGGTTTCTACAAAATCTATATATAAATATATACGGTATCAATAAAAATAGCATTAACCAATTGAAGAACAAGAACGAGAACACATACTATTAATTTACAACAATCATTTAGGGCACAAATAACGTTGTTTTGTTTTATTTGATGCGAAAGTTATGATAGTGACATAGTGAGAGATAAATGGTAAATTGCGGTACATCACTTTTGAGACGATACTCCTTCAATTTTAAAATAGTTGTCATTAAGTTATTTTAATATGTTTTATCCCTAATTAATACAATATTTTGTTTGATATGAGTA